CCACGACTGCAACTGGGGTCCACTAGTCCTGTCGAAACGCAGAGAAGCAATGAATAATCTACAGGGCTCCAATGTCACAAGCGGTGACTATGGACCTTTTGAAGATGTGAAATCAGTGGACCAACAGCGCTGGATCCTTCAGGAGGAAATCAAATCTCTGCAAAAGCTAGCGGATACCGAAGAGAGAAATGTAACACTCTTCGCAAAACGATTGGATTATAATAAAGCCGTGGATGCTCTTTATGTTCCCCAACCACGGGTTGATCCGATGGACATTTTGCCCCACGAGATCTGGCACAACATTCTGGTGGAACTATCTTCAATAGATCCGTTAGCTTTGAAAGATGTACATGCATTGTGCACTCTTCAGCCGACTGAACCACTTATTCCGCTCACAAAAGTGTCCAGGAGATGGAGAAATTTCCTACTTTCGGAACCCGCTCTCTGGAGAGTTGTATCTTTATGGTTTGATGACCATACTACCATAAATACCATCCCATGGCAACTGGGCCTATCTGGCAATCTTCCTCTGACGATTATCCTGGCGCCACAGGCGAATGAGCAATGGCCAAGGCTTCAAGCCGAACTTCTCAAACACCGAAAAAGGATCGAATCGATCTTATTGACTACCCAATACTATTGGTATATGGAGAACTCGAAATTACACTATGTAACAATGCCACAGAGCCTTCTCCCACTCCCCAATTTACGGCATCTGGGAAATCCTCTTAAAGACTTTGTACTGATGGATGCCCTCCCTGAATTTCTTGCGCTATGTCCATCCGTGGAACGTATATCAAATATACCTATTACTGTGCAAGTGATCCAAAAAATGGCAGAGAGGTTGGTCCTCGATGAGATCATGATTTCTGATGGGTTTTCCACAGTATATCCTCTACTCTTGGAGATTCCCAACATAAAGAAGATATCTTTCCAAGCCCAAGAAGAAAATTCCGAAGACCCTCGTGCGTCTGAGTCTGTTCTCGAGGCCACAGGGTTCCGGAATCTTCAATGGACCAGTCTCACTTATGATGCCCTTTTATGCCCATTCCCCGTTTCGCTCCTATACTGCCTTCCGTTTCTCACAGTACTTGACATCGCAACAAACATTGAAGTGATCAAAAAACTTGTTGAAGTACTACACAAGCTTCCATGTTTATTCACTTTTAAGTCAATAGTCCTTGTTCCAGGTGCTAATATCCTCAGACCTCCGGAAATAATTTTACCCAGTTATAGTGTACGATCATTGGAGCTCCAAATACAGTACACTTTTAAAGATCGGTGGCTTCAACCAGAGACCGCCAGGATGATTCACCCATCACACAGGACGGGGATTATTGGTCGGATGTTTCTTCATGCCATGCCAGCAACCGAACCGATCAAGCTTTCAATACACATTCCCACTCCCTCTCTATCACATGCCTTGGAAGGATGGTCAAAGGTTCAAACCCTAGAATTAGTATGCTTCGGCGCCACACTGGAAGCTTACACCCCGCCCAGGGATGTACCAACCACAGTAAAACAGCTTTCCTTAGGTGGAATACCAAAAATGCCCTTTTTAATCTTCTCCAGTTCAGCAGAGATCCTCCGTTGTCGCACTGATGACTTGGGTCCGTCAGATGCTCCACACATGCCATTGATCAGTCTCACACAGTGGAGTGCACTCCAAACCCTCGATGTCTATGGCGATATATTCAACTGGAAAGACTCGTCTGCTCTCCGTCTGAAGACGATTACCCTACGAAATCGATCTCTTTTCGGTGATTTGGACAATGGAATAACCTCCTTTGTTCACGCACTCGCCTGTCGTCCCGACTGCTATCCCTTATTAGAGGAAATTGTTCTTTGGGTGTGTCCAGAGTGGGACATACTCATGATTATGCTTGAGCGTCGCAACCTTCTCGCTGGTCCACTTATCAAACCCATAAAAAGAATAACATTGCCATCCATCTATTCACCCAATATTCGTCGCATTATCATTGATGT